CTGCTACTACTGCTACTACTGCTACTACTGCTACTACTGCTACTACTCCTACTACTCCTACTACTCCTACTACTCCTACTACTACTACTACTATTACTACTATTATGATGAGTACTACGACTACTTCGACTACTACCACTACCGCCACTGGCACTTGCACTAGCACTATCCTTAGCACTAGCCCTAGCACTACCACCAACAACCTCTACTGATGACGAGAATAGCTCTAGTGACAAATCCGCGGAAGAGGAAGCGACTCCTGCACCTGCCAGGAAGTTCCGCTTTCCGTACACACCTGGCTGCACTGAAACACTGGACGGAGAGTCCGTTGCTGAGGTCGATGGCAGACGGTGGGTTTGTGCCACATGGGTCTCCTTTGCCGTGTTTCAATCGAGAGAGACCAACTCAAGGGGACACGCCGGGCTTTGGTAAAAACAGCCATGGACTTTGGGGGTTCCTCGGAGGAGAGACACCCCTAATCACTGCATATGTTAAAGGAGTCTTTGCTCTTGATCTCTTGACCTCCCTCAAACTTCAAAACGACCTAGGTTGCGTTTGCCTGTCTGGGGCCCCCAGACCACGACGGAGTGCCGCCTCTTGGTGACACCTCGCCAGGCACCGGACTCAAGACGAAGACGACTCATGGCACTCACCTGCCGGAAATATCTGAAATAACGTAGGATCCCCTGGAAGAAGGGAAATAGACCAAAACCCATTGGTGGGGGGTTTCCCTCTTGAAAAACAACTCCACTTGTTTCGTCGTCCGTGACGCATCGCACCAGGAAGAGCCGCATTTCGCGACCAAAAGCTACGATCACCAGGCGAATCTTCAGTCAATCTGTGTGTGTTGGAGTGTCTTGTGAGACCTGAACATTGCCATTCAACACTTGCAACACCCCCTTTTTTGGTGAACTTTTCTATACCTTTGTGCGTGATTTTGCCAAAACTTAAGCATATATCGAATGGTCGGCTTTTCGAGAAAAGCCGCTCCTTCCAGTGCCTCTGGGAGCAGCTCTTCTACTTCAACACGGTCACCCGCATCTCCATCTATCCAAGACCAGACTTCGTCCAGGACCCGCACCGCTGCTCGTTCGGTCGGGTTTCCAGACTCAACTGCACTTCATCAGTTTAGATCAATCTCGGAGCTTCTTTTGTTAACGGAGCTGCTCTCAGGCAGCATGTGTTGGGGAAAAAGACCTCTCTCGAGAGCACAAGGGCCCTGCATTCTTCATACTGGTCCAGACTCAAGTCGGACTGATCCGACTCACACCGTGCGAGGAGCAATGTGAGCCCCGGTAGAAAGGGGACATCACCTTGTCTAAAGGACAGTGCCTTTTTTTTGAATTAAAGCTCTGAGCTTTGTTCTTTTTGGTGGCTGTTGGGTTTTGTCACCTGGCATTTACCAAATTACATCAAAGTACCATCCGACGCATGGCTTGAGCTTTCATTGCAGGGGAGGTGTGATGCCCTCCCACACTCCTTCAAGCCTTTTCGATTGCAAAGTGCATCTACCTTCACACTCCCAAACTCTGCAAAGCCCACTGCCCACCACTGTGGTTTGAACAGCTCTTCGTCCTTTTCCTCTTCCTTTGCCGTTGTAAACTGTCGCAGCGATCGGCCCTCCAGGAAGCGGACGAAGCTGCATTCAAGACCGCCGGGCTGTGCCGATGCTTTGACTGTAGCAGAGAGGCAGAGACCGGCGCTGGAGGGGAGGTAGAGCAAGACGACAGAGGCATCGGATACCGTCACCATGAATAGCCTATTCATGGTGACGAACCGATGCCTCTTTCGTCTTACAATATAGTCTCATTATACCTCATTCATCAATGGCAAAATGGTTCTTCATAAGTGTTTGGGGAGCTCAATGGGCGAATAAGGGTCTTCCGTTTTGGTTCAGCTTACCAGTGGTGCCAGTGGCGCTTTCCTGTTCTAAAACTCACTGGGGAAAAACACTGTACGGAAATTGGGAAGAGGCGGTGGTTGCGAAGCTAAAATGGAGGGAGGCCTGGGTTCGCAGCATGTGGTGTCTGGCCGTACTAGACCAAAACCAAGAGCATGGTTCAGCTCTAAACTCTCAGGGTGGTCTCACAGGCACCAAGCTCATGCTGTTTGACGTGTTGTTTTTTCTTTTCCCGTTGCTTTCCTTTGCTTCGGAGCAGCCGAAGTGCTTGGAGTGGACACCCGGCCATCCTCCCCGTGAGGTTGACCTGCTGGCCAGCTACTTGATGCAACGCCGTGAGGCCGGGAGGGCCACACGGCGGAGGGATCAAGAAGGATAGAGAAGGGATTCGGTTCATGATCGGTCCATAGCGCGTAGAGCAGACTCAGGCACGAGAAACCTTTGAGAGTTGAAAGTATTGTTATGGACATTGAAATGTATTTAGTATTGACTGAGACTTACTGTAACTTTAACATCCTTTAACTATAACTTTTCATGAAGATGGCAAGCCATCTCCAGCGTCTTGGAGCTTCATTTCTCTTTTGGATGCTGTTAGGCGCAACGGGGCCCGCGTGGCGCCAGGTGGACTCTTCAGGATTGGCCGCAGCGGTGGTCGAACTGGCACGAGACGTGTCCATTGGCTGCGGCCGTGGGCCATGAGCCAAGAAGAATCATGAATGCAAGAAATGCGGAGAACTAGAGTTAAACCATTCAAAAGGAGCCAAAGGCTGTGTGTTGGAATGTATGGAATGTCCGTTTTGCAGCATTGTCATCATTGCAGACTCAACACGTCAAGCTTTGAACATCAAGTTAGGCACAAGGCCATTGCTTTCTTTGAGGCCAAGTGGCTTGCTGGATGCACCAAAGGCACCCTGGCAGGCCAGAACTTTTCTTTTTGGTCGGACTGAACTTTGTGCTTTGGGCTTTTGGAAATTCCGTAGGTTGCTCTCATTCTCTCAGTTCTCGGCTTGGTCAGGTTCAAGCCGAAAAAGATGATGCGCAGATGCCGCCAACGAAGCGGGTCAAAAGCGGCAGCTCTGAGTTTGTACCAATAAGTTTCTGTCAGGATGAACAGGCAACACATACCTGTGGGTATGAAAGGGCTGCTCTGCCCTGCAGGCAAGCCTTACTGTTCAAAGGGCTTTCTCTAGAGCGTGGACTGGTACGCGTCAATGGTCTATACCGTAGAAGCAGAGGTGGTCACACCATCTTAGGACTTTGCTCACTCTATCACAAGGAACCTTCTGTTTAGCATCATGAGGTTGGTCCCGTGTTTGAAATCCATTGGGATGGTGAAATGCAACTACGGGTGCTTGTACGGCTGATCTCCCCAAAGGTTGGTGGTGCATTAAGCCAAGCAGGATTGGCCCTAGTTTGCCAGCAAGCGGCATCAAAAGAAGCAAGAATCTTGCGCCAGCATGTGCTTGCCGATTGACGTTCTCATAATACGTTGAGCAATTTCGAGCATAATTACACATATCTCAATATATAATCATCATATATATATATATAATATTTTTTTTCCTTCTCTCTCTCTCTCTATTGAACTTGAGTCTAGCAACGAAGTAGAACGAAGTGCATACGAGAGTTTAGCACAAAACCATGCATGGTAGCTGTAGCAATTGGGCAAAAAAAGGTTACACAAGTGAGTGACCCCTCCCTGGATGATGCCAACAAAAATGGACTAAAGACCAGGGCTCCCTTGAACTTCAACGAGGACGGTATTTGGAGGTGGGTATCCGTGGAGATGATGGAACAGTTCAAGGGAGCGCCATTATCGGGATCAAGGAAATCGATGGGAAAAGTGGTGGACACCAGATCATTCGAGCAGCGTACGTTGGCTGCGATGAAGAGCATTAGACTGGTCGGACTGGTCGTTCACGGAAGGAGCGGGAGAGAAACTCCGAACCGATGGCTGGTATCACCTGTGCTGTGAAAAACCTAGTTAGTGGTTGCAGTTGCAGTGCAGTGAAAGGAAAACCAGACATCATCCACGCCAGCAAGACGAGAAGTGTGGGTCCCGGGGACTTCGATGCCAGGATCCTCACCTTGTTCGCGAAGAAGGGCCTGAAGGAGTCGTTGTGGCGACAGTTTGGTGAATACAGTAAGTGGCAGGAGAAGAACCTTGACGTCCCAAAGCTCAGCGGGAAGGGGACAACGGTTTTGAACAAGCCCCCAACGGTAAACTGGGGGGATGAAGCTGACGAAGATGAAGAGGACATTGAGGAAGAGGATGAGGAATCAACAGAGGAGAAGGCCTTTGAAGAGAGAGATCGAAAAGTCAGTGAGAAGCTAAAGGATTTAAAGAAGAAACTGGCCAAAGCTGAGGCGGAAGGAGACGAGCTTCGTCGTATGAGAGACGAAAAGAAACGCAAGAAGTTGGCAGAAGAGACAGCGAAGAAGAAGAAGAAGAAGAAGAAGAAGAAGAAGAAGAAGAAGAAGAAGAAAGGTCTAAAGAGCAAGAAAGAGAAAAGAATCAAAGGAAAAAGGAAGTGGTGAGAGTTCGGAGCCAGCTCCTGCAAAGAAGAAGGCAAAGAGCCTGCATGACCGTCCAGAACAAGGGGGAGTAAAGGAAAGGGCCCCCGAGAAGGGGGAAAGGAAGAGGAAGAAAGGTACGGGGACCAGCAGCAGTGCCGGTGACCCGGCCCCCGGCCGTGGACTTTTAAAGTTATTCCGGAAGGAAGTGGCAGGTGTTGCCTTCAGCTCTGAGGCCTCCACCGATGAATCGGAGTCTTTTGAGAAAGCCTCCTCCAAGTCCTCGCAGAGCGCCCAAATGAAATTGTTGGGCTACAGCAGGAGGCGCCCCGGAAGACTGGCTTCGCGAATGCTGCTCTGTATGGAGAAAGCGACAGCCAGCCGCCAGCCGCTTGGAGGGGGCGGATCGAGGCAGCAAAGTGCCCTCAGTGGCACTAAACCATATGCTGACCGTGATGTTCCCATCACTGGCAGGCAAGCTGGGGACGAGGTCACAGAGCGAGATGAAGACCTTGGGCCACACCCTCGACACGATGGCCAGGGCCGAGATGAATCGAGCAGCAGATGTACTGGCTCAGAGGATCAAAGCTCTGGAGAGAGCGACCCACGGGAGCAGCGCAATTCCTGGAGTTGCTGGAGCCGGGGAAGCAGTTCCTTATTACTGCGCAGGATTCTTGTGGGCTCTCTCTCTCTCACACCCTTGCTGTCGAACCTTTGTTGACTTGGTGTTCTTGATGGTTCAAGAGTTGAGTCGCCCTGTGTGTTGTTGTGCCTGGTTGGCGTTTTCGCTTTTCATCCCTTGGGTTCTGAATTTCTTTCCCTCCCACCCTCCACCAAGAAATTCTGAACAACTTCTGGAGCAGCCAGAATCTGTCGACCGCTCAGGCGCACGCCTTTTTGCTGTATGTTCAGGGGGTGTGGGCCCGTGTGGGTAGCCCTCTGCAGGAACCCCTTGTCCTGCAAGGAAAAGTGCAGATTTGTGAACGCAGCGGTCGAGCCCAAGTGCTCTACTTGACCAAGCCCTGGGCTGGGAAGGTGGGCCTGCTGGGCTGCCACTCAGCAGGCCCATCTGGCAGGATTGATCAAGCGCTCTGAGCATTAAAAATGTTGTTGAGTGCAGGTGGTGGTGGTTTGGGTCCACATGGTGGGTTGTGTTTACCTGGGAGTAAGCTTGGTGAATTTGTAGAGCACGGCGCAGCTCCTGACTTGATTTGATCGAGCAGCAGCTCTGGTTCTGGCACGGCTGATGTAGATGGTGTAGACAATACAAAGCATTGTAGGTCAGACTGACAACCAATCCGTGCAAGGGCTTTATTGAGCTTGCATTGATGAGATGCGCTTTGAATAGCTTTGAGTTGCTTGTAAACACATCTCAAATCGCAACGGTCCATATGCCAAGTGTTACATTCGCTGCTTGTGCTGAGCTCTTCGACAATTGAGCTGTCGCAAATCCAAAAACTGTGGACAACACTAATGCAAACCGTGCCAATGGCAGCATTTGCAGCGTTTGCTTGGCAGCCTGGCTGTTTCAGGTGGGAAGCATGTCATCCCTCCGTTCGATCCAAAGGTTCCCCACAGTTTCAAGTGCTACCTAAACCTTCAGACATATTGTTTCCATTGGCACTCTAGAGCACGTATTCCTTCCCATCGCGGTTGGAACAAGGGAACCTTGGCAGGAAAGCTTGGATTCAAGATGTTTCAAGTGGATTTCTGTGGAGTTTTATGGCATGGCCAATTGGTGGACCCTTTTTGCGTCGCCCAGGTGACAGGGGCGTGGTGGCGATGGCGTCGGAGGGTCCAAGTGCATGGCGTCGCAGATTCGTCCATAGCACTGCCATGCGTTTTTTTCCACAACAGCACGGCTATGAAGTGCATGGTAATGCATCATTGCCAGACTCCTTCGGCTAAGAAACACAACCAGTTGATGTCAATTGCAGAAGAGCCAAAGAACCTGTGTGACCACCATGTGACAAAGTGATGGGACGTGCCACCATTTGGATGATGTCAACTCATGTACCCATTCTCTTTTGTAACAACAATTGGTCAATTTCCTCTCGCAGAAATCCTTTACTTGCATCAGCTTGTGTCTTTGCGTTTTTCTTGGGTGATGGTAACCCAGCAGTTCTTCTCTTCCTGGCACAGGCAGGCCACAGTGGAAACCTTCTCGTGAACATTGAACTAAGGTCCGTGCTGGTGAACACGAGGCCAGGGTACCGACAGCCACAGACGTAGTACAAGCAGGCAGCTAGCCTGAAAAGATAAACCCCAAAGGCTGCGCGTTGAAGTTTGTTCTCTTGCCATAGAGGGTGGCTTGAGGGTGGCTTGAGGGCTCCAAAGATACTTGAGCTACTTTGGCTAAGTCTTTCTGCAGTGTTCTGGCCTTATTCAAGTACCTGTGTGTAATTGCTGCACTGGCAACATCGGGTATAGATCAGAGAAGGGACATTCAGCCAAATTGACCACTCCAGGTGCGTGGTCCTGTCAAAATGTGAGAGCTTTGCTGGAGGTTCTTATGAGGTTCTTATGAGGTTCTTAGTGGGCTTCCCTTAGTTTGATGGACACTCATGTGTTGCTACGCTTTGATACTTGCATGGCACAGCATTGCATGAAGCTAGTGGACGTGACCAATTAGTGCTAAACTGGCACATTCCAGCTTGAATTGGCTATGGTTCAGAATCAAAGGCACATTTGCGGAACCCATCTTTAAGCTGGCAGACTGCTGTGCCACTTGCCAGTGCTGTGTTCCCTTTCGTGTCAGGGAGACGAGCGAGGCCAGGACGCCACTCTCGCATTCGCCGTGACGTCTCGCGGTGTGGTTTTTCTGCGTTGGAGAAGCTCACCACTTGGACTCTCGGGTGGTGTCACGGTGTGATGGCCCCAGGCAGAGAACGATTTCCCTTCAAGGGCTCTGACGAGTTTCAGGCGTTCTAACTTACAAACGCTGGAAGGATCAGCTGGACTGGCTGCAGAAGCATCGGGCCAGAGCCGGGGTTCCCAACATTTTCTGGCTCGACTCGTGTCAGTTGGTGCGGCGGGGGGCTTGTGTGACCAGAGGTGGTTCATCCACCGGTGTGGATTAAATGACACGACAGAATGAGGGAATTGAGGCTTTGATCACCTGCTACAAGTAGCTTGCCTCCCCCCTAGGCAATCTAGGCAGTGCACATGGACCCCAATGGGTCTATCGATCGATCGATGGGTCTCATCGGTCTCATCTGGACTTCTACAGCCTTTGCCTCCACCAACAGATGTGGAGGATCAGCTCCACCTCCGTGCCCAGGAGGTGGATCAGCTTCGCAAGGCGCCCTGAACTGGCCGCGGAAACCATCGAGTGTGAGCAAAACTGGCACATCCATGGAGCAACATGGATTATTTGATGATCCATGGATCCTTTTCAACAAAAGAAAACGCAGTGCCGGACTAAAAACCTACGAAGTGCGTCCTTCTTCGACCCTGCCCGGTTTTGGCAGTGGACGAAAGACATGCTGCGATGCCACGTGGAAAACCGGGCAGAAGCTGAGCTCTGGTGAGGAGAATGGGCAACTGTGCGGAGAGCTTCAAAGATTGCGAGCTCAACTGGCTCAGGTGCTTGGACGCATTACAAGGGCGCTATTAGTAGCTCCTGGCATTACTACTAGTAACAAGAAGCTACTAGTAACAAAGGGCATCGCTGCTAGGAGCAAGGACGCTAGGAAGGTTGCCATTTAGCTTTGCACGACCATTTCTGATGGTTGGTGTTTTTTTTGCTTGAGCTTTTGGAACCAGTTGGGCACATGGTTGGAGTCATCCCTTGCCACATCTCAGTTGAAGAACTTGGAAGAGAAAGCACAAAGACATGAACGCGCATGCCCCAGCTCAGTGCCCGAAGTTGCCAATCTCAGGAGTTGAATCATGAAAACGTGGGCCCACGTGGATCATGCGATTGACATACATGTTTTGAACCGCTCGAGTTCGACGGATAACCTGTGCTACACCCCCCAAAAGGCCTGGTCGTTTACACCCAAGGCGAGCGCGAGCGGCGCTCGCCTTGGAAACGAGGCTTTTCGGACCGAGACTTTTGACGGTCGGCCTGTCAGCTGTGGTTCTTCAGCGTTGAGGCCAAGAGCTCCAGCTCCAGAAGGGTGTGGAGGAGATGCAGGTGGGATACCTGGCCGTGACGCAGGGGGTGGTGTTCAACATTCCAGAGGAGCAGAGGATGAGGATCAAGATCACCAGGATTTGCAGAGTAGGAGTCTGTGGGGGTATGACCCTTCAACCCCACCAGTCATGAGCAAATCACCCATGGACCTTTGCAGTTCGTGTTGCGCGTGAACTCTGAGGTGGAGCTTGATCAGTCGGAGCAGCGCTGCGAACAGCAGCAGCAGCAGATTTCAGGCCTGCAGGAGCAGCTGACAACTGCCAAGGCCAATGAGGCGCTGATGTCGTTCCTTGTTGCGCCGGACCTCGCGATGGCGCACACCTGGAACCTCCATGAACCCCCTCCAGCCTTTCAAAACGGATGAGGCACACCGACGGTCCATGTCCGCGTCCGAGCGAGACGAGGGTTCTGTTCGTCTCGTCACTACCGTGCGCGGTCGCCACGCCCGAGACGAGGCGGAGCTGGAGAGTTTGAGGCGGGATGGGCCATGGGCTGGTGGGTCGAAGTGGATGTCGTTGTGTTTGCTAAACAAAAAGGATCCACAAGTAAGTAGTTTGCACTAGGCCACCAGGTGTGACGGTGTTGTCTAGATATCTTGTGCGTTTTCTCGAACTGCGGGGTGCTGTTGACAGGGAACGCGTGAGAAGATCGGACGAGGATCTGCGCGCCTGCGACTCAAAGAGGTTACAAAAGTGAGTTCTACCATGGCCGGACTCCGTGGACCTTCTGGCAATTCGTGTTTTGGGCTAGGTGTCTCAACTGAAGGCGGATTTTGGTCAGACCAGTAGAGATGGCATCGCAGACACCCACCAAACGGGTCGTTGGCAAACGCTTCTTGTAGAGCCTTGACGTCGTCAGCAAATGGTCATTTAGGGTTGTCAGTTGTTCGTGGGGGGTGAGTCCACTCAAACAAGCTCGAGCTGCAAGTGCAGACAAAACAAATCAATACAACAGTTTAGCGTATGGTATAATGCTGTACACACTCACTCACTGGCATGGTAGTGAGAGCTTCTCAGGGCCCATGTTCATCCCATTTTCCTCCCACGTGATGTGTTCGTCGGAGTGCAACTCTACTTGGCAAGTTGCGGCACATCACGTGGTGTGCCCAGGTCCTCAATGCGAAGGTCATGGACCTCACAGCCGAGAGAGAGGAGGCTGATGAACTCCTTGGAGAACTTGTTTTGTCACAGACCTGGGTGGGGAAAAAGCCTTCACCTCACAGTTCGCCAGGTAGATGAACATGATGGGTTTCGACTTGAGATCTTTAGTTCGATGCATTTTTGAGAGAGGTCTTTCTGGAATGCTTATGGTTGATCAACGTTAACTAGCATGCTTATGGGCCATTCCAGATAGAGCCTTCGCAAGGCATTCTGGCATGCTTCTGGAAGCGACATCGCCCTTGCCTGACCGGAGATCTTCGGACCTTTTTGAACACTCATCGGATTGCCTTGGGCCCTTGGATTTCTATGTTTGCCTGCTCTTCAATCCCCTTCAATCTCTTTAGATGGGCGTGGCTCAAGTGATCGGGGCGCCTCAGACCGCTTCCGGCATTCAGCCTTTCTCGCCAGAGCCCAATGACCCGCGCCGGTGGCGCAACTCGTCAGGCGAAGCGGCAATTGATCCGATCTGATAAGGCGAGGAGTTTGCCTCGCCACAGTGTGGATGTCATCGTGGCAGTGACAGAACTTCAAAGATGCAAATAATGGTTTCAAAGCGGTATGGACGATATGGATCTATCAAAGAAAGGGTGGATTTCAAAAAGGAGGGGGTCTGTCCCAATTCCTGCCCTGGGAAGTTTGAGAATTTATCAGCAAACGGATTGATGTAAGAGCTGCGGTTGGGTTTGTGAAGCATTCACCTCAGATATTACTTCAGAAATCATTGCTCTCGGACAACCAGATTCCTAGAGCGGTTTTTTGGAGCAAGAGGTTTGCCTCCCCTCTAGTAGATTGGCAACTCACTTTCTAAGATCTTTGACGATTTTGAAGTATGACCTGGTTGACGGTTTCTCTCAAAAAGTGCAAGGCAACCCTTGGGTTGCTCGTCGAAGTTTTTTGAGCGCCAGCAGGTGTGCACCGAGCTCTTACAGGAGATGAAGGAGCTGCTTTGTTGACAGGAAGGAGGTGAGATGAGGTGAATCACCCACTTGCAGGTCCAATCTAAAGGTAGATAAGATTTGTTGAACTGTGGATTTTCATGCATTTTGCATCATTTGACTCTTTAACTCTTCTTTTGCAGAGTCTAACCCCGCTCGTGGTTGGGTCGGGAACCACACGCCCAGAGATTTCATCGGTTGCTGCATCTTCAGAAGTGGTAGCAGCGCACAGATTTACTGTATGGATCAATCAACGGACCCACCCCAGGATTTCAAGTTGTTTTGTTCCAAAGATTTCCCACGCCTGGGATTATCTACAGGTGTTTTGTCACTCGCGCAGCCAACACAATTTTTCCTCTGCGAGAATCCTCGCAGAAGTGTATGCTGAACGCTTCACAAGCATCTCCAGGACCGACAAGTGGCCTTGGAACTCCTGAAGCAAGAGAACAAGGCGCCAAACAATTTGCAAAACCTTTTGGTTTCGGCTTAGACCGAGGTCTCGTCTCAGTCTTGGGTGATCAATCCCAAACGACGAGTACCCAAACGACCCAAACGACGTAGACGAGCCAAACGACCCAAACACGCTCCGCGCTGACCCCAAACGCAGGACTGCACGTTTCACCCAGACGAGGTCCGTAAAGAACTCGCCGTATTTGCGTCGTGCGTCGAGACGAAGGTGCTCGTTTCACGAGGTCGAAGGTTTGATGATGAACGATGTTTTGAATGGTGGTTGACCCGAATCCAAACATTCTTTAGGGACGCCCCACCTGATTTGGGTCAACCTAGTAGAAGTGTCAGGAAATTTCCATAGTCAGCCGAAAGGCTGACAATGATGCACTGTGCAACCCGCTGTCCATCTATTCTCGGAGAGGAAGTTGAGATGGGACCACCAGTAACTTTGTACCCTTCCAGTAAATACAACTAAATGTCCGGAGTTTGGGCCCCCATCCCACCTAGAGTCTAGAGGACAGTCACGAGTCATAAGTCATAAGGATGCATCTCACAGGCCACTTTGGCTCTGCGTGCTCCAAGTTGCCAGGAGTTGCAACTTGCTGAGAGGCACCTTGGGGTGGATCAGAACCAGGACGATGGAGTGTGTAGGGCTGCCATTCTGGGAACACGGAATGTCCCAATTTTAACAAAATTTGCAGCAACGGTATGACTTTGCAGAACATAAAAACACTGGGACATTGGACGAGGTATGTGTCAAGCTTGGCTTTGACGAGTTTGCGTCAGTTTGCAGTGTGTCTCTGGAAACGAAGGGACTATGGAAACTAGCAGCTTCCCTCTACTCTTTCCTATTTCCTATCACCAGAGGGTGTCTTCTTGGAAGGAAGACCTCCACACATCGCGACGCAAACATCGGCCAAACATCGCGCGAGGTCCAGGTTGGAAAACCATCAGCATGAGATCCAAGTGCTGAAGAATGAAATCCATCAACTCATCACGGAGTGCCAATCCTTGAGACATCAGGCGAGCTCGGCTGGGAGACGACTGTTTCACGGTCCGGTGATGACCGGCGTCTTGGGGGGAGTCTTTGAGGTCTTTTGAGGTCTTAGAAGATGACATTGCTGATATGACTTGTTGAGGTCTTTGCTCTCCCTCGCTCCCTCCCTCCCTCCCTCCCTCTGTCAAGGTCAGTGACTCCAACAAGGCTCAGGAGCTCTTTGAGGCCTGGATCATGGTGCCCACGCGGTGTGCGTGTGGGATGTGTGTGTGTCATTCCGTTTCCAGGAATTCTAACCTCCACTATCCAACTACTCTTGTATTATACACAGCCAGCATGGGACCAGGCAGGGTACATCGTCGCCTGGTCAACGAAGCTGGCGATGTACCTGACGACATGGAAGTGGGACGCCACTTCCATGTACCTGCTCGTTCTAGCTGTCTAGCTGCCAGCGCTTTGTGAACGTAAGTACTGTTGTTGTGCAGTACAGTCAAGGGCTAGTACGCACGTTGAATGCAGTAATGTAAAAGGCTAAGGCTAATGCACATTGAGATCCACCCTGAATATCGCTCCTCCTGTTTTGTTCCTGAATGTCCGTTTTGGACACGATTATCATGCTGAATTTTATTCGAACTGATCCGGGATCCGCTTCACTCCAGTATCCAGAATTCTGCTGCAGAGCTCGCTGAAAACCCACTACTGAATTCGTTTCACACGTGAAAAGTCATCATCTCCAATTTTTTACATTGGCCTCGCAGTCATTTTTCTTCCTTCCGGCTGTGTTTCTGTTTTCTGCTTTCTCTCCCTTCAGGTGTGCCCCACGTTGCGCCGGACATACTCGCAGGGGGGCGAGCAATCGCTTGTGCACTTGCAATTTTGATCGCTTGTGCACTGGATCAAGGTAAGAAATTCAGAGCTTCTTTCAAGCGCATCACGTGCCCCAGCTGGAACCAACAAACAAACAGTTAATTTAGGCGCCGACCAGGATGTAAGGTGTGACGATGTGGCTAGAACCGATCCTTCCATAAGATCCCCACCAACCCCCCCCACCCCGCCAGGATGTAAGATGTGATGATGTAGCCATGGGCCTATCATTCCCACCCCCCCACCCCGCCAGGATGTAAGATGTTTTGATGTGGCCATTGGCCAATCAATCCACAAGGCACCCCACCTCCCCAGCTGCCACTAAAGCGTCAAAGAGATGTATGGAGGCAAGTGATCCACCGCTCTAGGAAGCAGATAAGTGCACAAGTGATTGATGCCCAGTGCGCAAGTGATGTCCAGTTGTTCTTGAACAATTTGCCTTTCATTCGGCACTCTTGCTCGGAATGTACCCATTCATTTTTTCTCTTCTGGTTCCATCTTGGTTCCATTTCTCTTCTTTGCTTTCTTCTCCCTTTCCAAAGGCTTTCTACACTGGAACTCAGGTCTTTGAAATCGCCGACTCGGCGCTGTGCATGTGTCACCATTAGGAGTTCCTTCACTCTTTCCTTTTTTCTTTCCTTGTTTTCCTTTCGCTTTCCTTTCTAGAGGCTTGTTGGGCTGTAGCTCGGGTCTTTTGATGCGACGATTCGGCGCGAGCACGTGTCAACGCCCAGAGCGCTTTGACTTTTTCCTCTTTTCTTTTGGTCTTCTTATTTCACTTTCTTTCCTTACTAGAGGCTTGTTAAGCTGTTATCCATGTTTCTTGAATTCACGGAAGCTCCGTGCGTGTGTGTGTGTACCCCTTGTAGTCACAGGGATTCATTTGAAGTTTGAAGGATGACAGTCACAAATCTTGAAGTGTACCACGATGTTGCAGTTTAAAGGCACGACGCGCACTAATCGTGAAGTGTTTCACGATGTTGCAGTCACAATCCAGTTTTTTTGGTTTTGTTTTTGTTTGTTTGGTTTTATTTTTGCTGCCTTGTGTCATTGTGGGCCTTCTAACCTATTGCGCAGGCCTCCAACCTTGTTGCTATGGCCTCCTCCTATTTGTGGTGCCCTTCTAGTAGTTTATATGCCGGTTGCCCTCAGGGCCGGCGCGTCCGCTCTGCTCGACTGGATGCATTCCTATTCAGTCTGCAGAGTTGGGGTGGGCACAGGTGCTTGCTGCAAACGTGCTTGCTGTAAACATGCTTGCTGTAAACTTGGTACTTTGGCCTCGATGGCCTCCAACTTCTAGCGATGGCCTCTAATTTAACTTTAACTTTGCTTGCCCTGTTGCCTTAGTTTTTTTTCACTTAGGCTGGCGTGTGGCACCGCTGTCCAGTCAGTACGCATATCCATAAGTCCATAAGTGTGTCTCTCCTAGTGAGAGCCCGGGATGAGCCCGTAGAGTGCCTCCGTGGACCCGTCGAACGGGGGTTTGTCGTTATCTCCCATACCCGGAGATGTAGTCTCAAATTGGGAATTCCAAGTTGGCTTATGCCTTTACGTGACCGCAGCGGTCTAAGCAGCCAGCCATTTTGGCACGGCGTACGTGGCCGTAGCGGCCCAAGTTTGTCTATATAGGCTCATTGGAGTCTGTGGAGAACTTAGCCCCCCTCCTCCCCTTCCCTCCCCCCCCCTTTCTTTCTTTGCTTTCTGGGGTTTTCCTGAATGGAATACTCAGGATCACCTCTCTCCTTCTTCGGTGTCTCCCTGGACGTTTGTTCGTAGCTGGGAACACCTGCCCTTTTTCCTTTTCTCTCCTCTCCCTTTCTCTCCCTCTCTCTTCTTTCTCTCTTTCCTTCTTTCCTCTCTTCACCTTCCTTCCTCCTTGGGTGTCCCTGGATGCTTTCGTCATAGCTGGGAACCCTTCTCCTCTCTTCCCTTTGGTGTGTCCTTGGACGCGTGCGTCGTAGCTGGGAACACCTTCCTTTCTTCTCTTTCCTTTTTCTCGTCTCTCCCTACCCCTCCCTCCTGTCGGGACCTTAGCTTGGGATGCTACTAGGGGCTCCTGGCCTTCCTACTAGGTGCCCGGACGCTACTTTGACGCTACTAGAGGTTCCTGGCCTTGCTACTACTTTGTCCGCACCTTCAATACGCCTCCCCTCGGGGAGGCGTGTGTGTGTGTACCCCTTGTAGTCACAGGGATTTGTTTGAAGTTTGAAGGATGACACTCACAAATCTTGAAGTGTACCACGATGTTGCAGTTTAAAGGCATGACGCGCACTAATCTCGAAGTGTTTCATGATGTTGCAGTGCAACCCTTGGAGTCCCAATCCAGGTTCTTTTGGGTTTTGTTTTTGTTTGTTTGGTTTTATTTTTTGCCGCCTTGTGTCTTGTGGGCCTTCTAACCTATTGCGCAGGCCTCCAACCTTGTTGCTATGGCCTCCTCCTATTTGTGGTGCCCTTCTAGTAGTTTATATGCTGGTTGCCCTTAGGGCCGGTGCGAGTTTTAATTTAACTTTACTTGCCCTGTTTCCTTAGGTTTTTTTTCACTTAGGCTGGCGTGTGACGCCGCTGTCCAGTCAGTACGCATATCCAAAAGTGTGTGTGTGTGTCACCTACCGTTTTCAGGGATGCTAACCTACGCTATCCAACTACTCTTGTATACACACAGCCAGCATGGGACCAGGCAGGGTACATCGTCGCCTGGTCAACGAAGTACCTGAGGATATGGAAGTGGGACGCCGCTTCCATGTACCTGCTCGTTCTAGCCGTCTAGCTGCTAGCGCTTTGTGAACCTAAGTCTGCTCAACGCTGTCCCCTACGTTGTTGCGCAGTAAAGGGCTAGTACGCACGTTGAATGCAGTAATGTAAAAGGCTAATGCGCATTGAGATCCACCTTGAATATTGTTCCTTGGAACATTTTTCTCAAACAGTGTGTGTGTGTTGTGTGTGTCAAGTGCGGGTGTAGGTCTGAGCTCGTGTTGGGTCGTTCCAAGAAAACACTGCAAAGGCGTTCTTGTAGTCCAAGAGACCAACTTCCGTCCATCCCTTCAAACAACCACTCCCCAGCCACCCGCTCTGAAGCCGCCCCATGTTCGACCCCTGCCAGGAGCGTCTCAAGAGTAAGGACCAGCAGATCCAAACCCAGGCCACGAGCCCAGAGACTGTGTGGCACGGCCACAAGAAACCCAGTCTTGCATCTGAACACCGTGCCCCGTGATCTCACTGGTGAGTCGAAATTGGAACTGCCCGGCGCCGAACCCGTGCCGGACGGATGGGTCTGGCGCTTGAACGGAAGGACGTGGAACTGCAGCGCAGTCGCCGAGAGGCGGAGGAGTGATGCCGTGAAGCGCGATAAAGTGCGGTGAAGCTCTGCAGCGGATGGCTTTTGGACCCCAAAAAGAGAAGCCGACCAAAGCGTCACTTTGAGAAGTAGTAGTTCTCGTGGGTTTCAAGTCTCGTGGATCTGGGCCCAATTCAAAGCCATTTGGAAGGCTAAGGTTGCCAGGGTATTACAATCATTATTAGTTCCATTATGATTAACAATTACTACTTATGATTCTTGTTGTTACTTTCGGATGAATCACTCTTCCATTCATCCGTGGCGTTTCTAGTCCATTTGCGCAGGAAATCAAGAATGAGTGGGAAGCTCGTTGGACCAAGGCGCAGGAAGAGGCACGTTGGATAATTTGTTGGGTCAAGGTCGGTCCATTCTGGTTAGTTGTGTTGTCGTGTTACTTGTACGTAGACGCATTTAGTGTAAATCCACTGGTCTTCGGGTTTGGCCCCAATGGTGCTTGCCATTTGTAGCGGTTGGCTCTATGTACACATATTGGCTCCATGTAGGGACATGAAAAGGAAGATTGCAATTTTTCGTCGTAGATGCTCCTATTCTTCTTGGCAGCACTTATTTCACAACTTTCGATTGGCTCAAAACGTAAGTAACGAACCTCCAAAGTTTTAGAGATCTGCCCGAGCCAAACTTTCTCTCCAGATGTTCCACAGGTCTATCGATTTGCTACGGTGTGTCTCAAGCTGGGAAGGGGCGTCCCCAAATTTGATGTACGCACGCTAGATGTCACTAGACGGCGTGTCTCAGTTGGTATGTCTCAAGTTGGGCTGTCTCTGCGATCTTTACCAGTTCTTTCGATTGAGCAAGCGAGCGGTCAGCCACACCACTGAATGCAGCGAAGTGCCGTACGGCGTCACTCTGTTCAGCGCTTTGAATTGAAGCCTCATGAATGCGAAGCGGAAGCGATCAGCGCAGGACAGCGTTGTTAATGTCTTGCTGGTATTTGGAGAGTGCTGCTGGGATTTGTCTGGACAAGAATATGCACTCCACGTTGACCAACCTTGACTTGACCAGGAGACTCCTCAGGAGGCAGTCTTGGAGGGAGAGAGGCCTGGTTCGAAGACTTTGCCCCAGATAGTTTGAGCCTTTGGGGTTCTTACTTCAAGTATAGGCCGAGTTGCGTGCATGCGTTTTCAAGCCTGGGTGCTGTGCCGCTGCAGGCCGCTGCTGTGTGCGCTTGGGTGCTGGTGCGGCTGCCAGGCCAGCTCCTGTGTGCGCTTGGAGTCTTGGGCGCTGGTGCCGCTGCTGTATGCACTTGGGTGCTAGCGCCGCTGCACAGGGCCGGCGCCTGCTGTGCGTTCTCTTGGAAGCTAGGTGCGTGCTTGGGAGCTTGAGCGCTGGTGCCAAGGTTGGGCGCTGGCGCCGCTGCTGTGCGTGCTCTTGGGAGCATTGGTTGCTGGTGCCGGTGGGGTGCCGCTGCTGCGTGCGCTTGGGTGCCGGTGCCGCTGCAGGGTGTACGCGCTTGGGATGTTTGGCCGCCTTGGATGCTGGTTCGGTGCGCTTTGACGTTGGTGCCGCTGCAGGGTGTCGCTCGAGGGTGCTGCTGCGACGCCCATGCGCTTTGAGTTTCGGGTGCTGGCACCGCTGTTGCTATCTGGGGTCTATGCTGGCGTACCTCAGCTCCGCTCGGCTGCGTCGACGAGGTTCCATGGCTACATCCACCATGTCATCGGTGACAAGATGTTTGCAGAGAACCCAGAGGTTTGGAAAGAGATGTCACCTGTGAAGAGAGAGAGAGAACATTTTTGGAAAGGTGTCGTGACATGATTGTTTTTCAACAGCAGCTGGACAGAAAAACGTTTTTTCCCACCAAACCTCTCTTGGCAAAAAAACTCGACAGACTGCCAAGCGTGTCCTCTGGTGTGCTCCTGCTGTCCTGCGTCCTCCTCTTGTCTTCCTGCTGGGCTCTGGCTGCGCTGGCGAACCTGTAGTGGCCGCGCTGGCGAACCCTGTGTCCTTCTCTGGCCCTCCTCCGCTTTTCTTCCTGCTATTCTTTGGCCGTGCTGGTCCCTTCTCTTGTCCTCACGCCGTTTTCGTGTGGCTGTGAACGCAACAGTGATGCAGCGTTTGATATCATCCTCGGATGTTCTCATGACATATATCAAATGTCCTTTTGTGTCTGCGCGTGACACGAACTATTGTTTTCTAACACGCTTTCTTTCCACGCCGCCCCCAATACAGACGTTACCGCCCACGTGGGCCAACAAACAGAATGTCGAAACTGTTTGGGCTCTATGCTGGCGCAATTTGACGCGCTTTACAAGATGATTCCAAAAACATGTTTGTGCGAGAAAATGGAATATTGTCGACGTGCTGTACCAGAGGATTAGTGTAGGTGATTAGGTGATACATGCTGATATAACGATGTATATATATATATATATAGTAGATAGATCCTGCCTGCGTTATCCTACAATCCTGGTGCTGAGATCTTGGTCCCTCCAAGGCATGCGTATTAGTAATACACCCACAAATGCATGTATATGTCATATGTGTGTATATTTATACATACATACATACATACATCCATACATCCATACATCCATACATACATCCATCCATCCATCCATCCATACATACATACATACATACATACCACACACCCACGCACACGCACGCAAGTCGTGCAAGGCCTTTCCGCGCAAGATCTTGACAGAGGGTTGAGGTCTGCTGGGTATAGAATAGCTAAAATATGTGTTAGTTCATAATCTTGGCAATTCTAAGGTCACCTGTGATGGTGTGCCCCCAGAATGGAGAAGATCCATGCCCTCGTGGCCTCCCAACAAGCACCTCAGCCCGGCATCCACCACTTGAAGCTGGACCGAGCGTACCTACGCTGCAGTGAATGCAAGAGCTACATTTTAGCGCGAACCAATGAAGATGCCTTCAACAAGTTCGTCGCAGAGCCATGCCATGTGGGCCCCGTGCAGCCAGACGAATGGCCCGGGCACGGCTCCCATACTATGCAGCGCAAAGGCACTTCGCTGGAATGCAGTCGGTGCCATTCGAGGACCAAAATCGTCAACGGGGAGATCAAAGTCACGGCGCGGCTGGCTGCTCGTTGCGTGTTCCAAAGGAGCAAAGGTCTGAGACAAATGTTCTCATGAAGAGCCAACTGATGGAAAAAGACGCGCAAAAAAATACATACATACATACATACATACATACATACATACATACATACATA